CTGGAGCCAGCATAATGGCATCCAAGTTGAGCACGCTCAAGATCAAGGACATTCTCGAGCTGAACCAGTGCATCAATAAGGTGCGCGCTTGGCCAGACCTCACCTTGCGCTACTTCCCAATAGAGTGCGAGGACCTGAGATGGGGCGTGGTCACGGATGCAAGCTTCACCAACTACAGCGACGGCTCCACCCAGGGGGCCTTGGGAGTCATAGCATTCCACAAGGACATGTTGCAGGGGCACGAAGCTACCTGCTCGCTGGTCTGGTGGAAGAGCGGAAAGCTGAGAAGAAAAGTGAACTCAACCTTGGCCGCCGAGACTCAATCGCTCAACAAAGGTCTAGGAGATCTTCTGTGGGCGAAAGCAATCTGGAATGACTTGATCCAGGAGAAGTTCAGCCTCGAAGTTTTCAAAGAGAACGCCAGAACCCAGGCCGATTTGGTGCTGCAGAGTGCCAAGGCAGATCACACGCTCAAAGATTCGCTGACAGTTGTGGATGCGAAGTCGCTCTACGACAACCTCCGAAAGGAGGGTTCGCTGGCCCAAGACAAGTACACCGCGCTGGACTTGGCGATAGCTCGTGAGAGAATGGATGGCGTAGGCGCCGAAGTTCGCTGGGTTGAGCATCAAGCCATGATTGTAGATGCCCTCACAAAGATTCAAGGCAACGCTGAGGCCCTAAAGAAGCTCTTAGAAAAAGGGACATACCAGTTAGTTGCCGAAACCGAAAGGCTTGAAGAGCGGGCTGAGCGCCGAGATGCCGGGACCGTGAAACATCGGTGAATGGCCAGAAAGAGTTTTGGGAGCTGTGAAATCAGTGGAGGCTTCCTCCCTGGCCATATCACCCGCGGTCCTGAAATCAGTGGAGGCTTCCTCCCTGGCCATATCACCCGCGGTCTTTCTTTTCGGCCCACAGAGGGCCCTCTTGATCCTTAAGCTACTGACTTTGCAGTGTGCGTAAAATTGAGTCCGAGCCATAGATTCGAAGTGGGCGCTGTCAGAAGCGTACTGTTTCAGAAGCGCATTTGCCAACCCCGGAGCATGAGCACCTGCAACGTCCTCCCAGATGTTCAAGATCAGGAAGTTGCCAGGAGCAGGGATCTACGTTTCGGTGCTTTGCAGACTTTGCAGTGCCACCATGAGGTGAAGGGTGGCGTACGCGCCTGGTGTGTATACGTTTGAGCACCGTTTGGAAGAGCACAAGTGCCCAGAATCGCAGCTGTCAAAAATGCAACATATTCCAGACTCGAACTACGAATGGGCCAACTTGTTGGCGCCGTGAGCATTGGAGGGGTGAAGCGAAAGAGGTCAACCCGTGCACAGTCCCGTCAATGTTCTTGGCGTGTGCTCATGCTAAATAAATCAGAATGCGTGGGTGCGTTCCTGAGCTTGCAGCAGCACGTGGATACGTTGGGACAGGTAGCTGCAGCGGACGACGAGGATGGTCCTCCTGAGGAGGTTCCTGCAGCTACTTAGAGGCTTATCGTAAGGCTTCGGCAGGAATTCCACATGGTGAGGTGACCACTTGCTTGGGCTCAAGCCAAGCACCGCTCGAAAATCCGAATGAAGAGGCTGGTGCTCCCTTGTTCAAATTCTGCTGGGATTTTGGAGTGCATGCCTCTGATCATGGTCAGCTATTGAACCTTCTCAGGAGGCCAAGGAGGACAGCCAAAGGGTGTGTGTTTCTTGGAAGATGCTTTGCGGGTGCACTCGGCAGGAAGCCAACACACGAAGGGCCAAGAAGCGAGGCATGTGCTTATTTGCAATTCATTTTGTGTTTTGCTTTGCGGTATGGATGTGCAGGTAGCATCAAAGAACCCAAGTACGTGTGGCAAGATCCCGCCAACCAGGCCCGAGTGGTGCGTCTTGTGGCGAGCAGTTTGGGTCAGTTGAACTCAGGAGCTTCTACAAGCTTTGAAGATGGAAGACCAAGAGAAGCGAAAGCGGCATGCTAGCACGGCCCAGTGCCTTGGTCACGACTGAGCAAACGGGCAAGCATCTGTGCTCCAACGAGAGGAGTGACTGCTTCGGACACACAGCTCGTAACTAACTAGGTAATTGTGCTGGCTAGGGTGGAGAAGGATGGTGTCACTCTGCTGCGGGCCGAAGTTGCGCAGGTAGGAGCTTGGTATTACTCAGTACATTCCGTCGCTTGAGGGTGTGGACACACGCAGCATTCACCAGGCTGCACATGGTGTGGATGCTGTCGACTTCCTGCAAACGGACGCCTTATGTCAACTTGGACTGAATTTTCATGTCGTTGAAAAACAGCTACTTCCCCAGGAGTTGTTCGGCAACCGAAAGCGTCTGCTCGGCATGTGTTTAGGGTTGCCGGCTCTGCGCTAGCACTTTGGTTAAGTGCGCCCTTTTTTGTGCTGTCCAACAGGCAGGCGAAGCGTGGCAGATCGCTACGACCGGAATGTGTTGGCTGGGTGCAGCTCTGGCCACAGTGTTTGTTCGTGAGGTTGTTGCACTGTTAAATTGGCCTTGTTGTTTGTGACTAGTTGTGACTGTTTATTCGTCCTGCCCAATCAAAGCCAACGCTTCATCATCCTTTAAGTCATCCCACGCCTCAACATGTCATGTCTTGACCCAAAACCTTCCTCAGGCAATTTTGCAGACATCATCAGACATCCCCAACGCCCTTGGCTATATCAATGCTCTAACCCCCCAGGTAACGAAGTCTCTTCTTGCTGCCAGTTTTACGCCGGCCATGGAATGTCACGCTCGGGATCGCTCTGCTTAGTTGCGCATGTATGCCAGAACCTAATTGTGAAAGCAGATTGCTGAGGCCGGGCACTACCTCTTCACCTGCTGGGTGCAACGAGGACTCTTTGTCACTCTGGGCGGTGTCGGTCGCTGTGATGTTGCTTCGCATGGAGTTGTTGGAGTTGTGCCGTCTTTGAATGTCTCTGATTCGAAAAGGAAACGGAGAAAGTGAAGGCCAAGACGGGCCTGTGCAGGGCAAGGTAGCCAGGACATCCAATGATGCGTCTTGTCTGCATGGCTGCACTGGGCTCGTAAAACAGTGCCTGGCTGTAGGTCAAGGTTGTGAGGTAAGGGTCGACACAAGCTGATCATGCTGAAGTAAGCAGCTCGAATCAGCAAAATAGGGCAGACCCTGTTAAGTGCATGTCAAACAGCCTTCGAAAAAGATCATGTTGTGCGGCAGCTGGACAGAAAGTTCTTGCGAGTTCGACCTTTTTCCCTGCCCTCCTGAAACTGCAGGAGGTCGAAGGCTGCTGAGGGAAGTAGGGAGCAAAGCCAAGAGCCAAACGAGGTTCATGACACAAATGATACTACCAGATCATACCAGATCTAAGATGGTGGGGGGGGGGGTCGGGGGGACAGCTTCATTTTTTTTTCTGTTTTTTTTCTGCCACTACCAGCTCCGGCTTCGGGCATAAGGCTTAAGGCTGTGCAACTGCATGATCGTCAAGAGGTTCAAGCCCAAGGACAGTTTTCGGCTGAGTGAAGGCCGCTTGGCCCATTCCTTCCGCACTCGTGGTTGGAATGCTGACGTGGAAGTGCGAAAATGGTAGGGTGCGATAGTAGGGTGCGCAGGGTGCAACCTTAGTGTGCGTTCGTGCGGTTGTTGCGCCCTGCACCCTGCATGACTGCACCCTTTGCCCTGCACGACTGCACCTTACACCCGGGGGGGTCCCACTGCACCTCATCCCCCGCACCACTGCGCCCCACCACTCCCACACTGCCCCTGAATCTATTTTTAGGGGCTGCGCCCACGGGCGGGCAACGCCCCGAGGAGGCAGAGGCATAAAAAAGTAGCTCCCAAAGCGTGCGCACACCCCGCCGCACGCGCGCGCGCGCGCGCGCGCGCGTGCGCGCGGGCCAGGCCATCCAAACGGTTCGCGCGCGCGCATGCGCAGCGCGCACAAGACAGGCTGCACGAACCGGAAAAAAGTCTCACAAGCCTCCTCCGACAGAGGCATCACGAGCATCATTGAAGCAAGCCCTGCAAGCCCTGCAAGCCCTGCAAACCCTGCAAACCCTGCAAACGCTGCAAATGCACAACTGTTGTGCCCCGCAAGGGTGGCTCAAGTCACACCTGCAGACCGCAGCCTTTCGGGGTGGCGCGGCTGGTTGGCGGGCTGTGCTGTGCAGCGTCCATAGCTGTTGGTATTAGCCTGTGTTAGCCATTGGATTCTTGTGCATTGGCAAGACGGTTCACTGTGAGGTCATGGCATCCTTTTCAGCAGTTGCAGGTGGGTTGAGCTGAATACGCTCAGGATCGTAGTCGTCTGCAGCTTCTGTCTCCGATATTTCGGAATTTGGCCAGGGGAGGGGAGCACAAGTGTCGCTGGTGGCGGCCCGGACGTACAAGTGACAGCCTTGGGAATGCTTTGTGAGCTTCAACGTGTGCGAAGCCTTGCCAAGCCTTGCCAAGCCTTGCCAAGCCTTGCCAAGCCTTGCCAAGCCTTACCAAGCCTTGCAGGCGGAGATAGTACAAACCATCGAGTCTCAGGCTCACGCCCCCTGCATTCAGTGCATTCAGAGGACAGCTGCCCCTTCCTGCATCTCAAATCTTTCTCACACGCCCCCTGCAGAGCACTGTGCGCTGTACACCTTGGTTAGTACTTTGGAGCTTGGTACCTTGGCTCATTTCCGCATTCTCGACTTGGCCTTGGTTCCAGCTTTGCTTGGCCAACCATCACATGAGAGTCAAGTGAGATGTCATTCATGAGAGTCACATGAGACGTCTTCGTAGGGTCACAACTTTTTGTTCTGCTGGTGTGGATTTGCGTCAGTGCCAAACTAGGTCAGTCGTACCCGATTGGGTTCTCCCATGTTCCAGCAAGGAAGTCTTAGCCAACGTGACTACTCAGCATCTCTGCGAAACAGCACGCAGAGCGTAGTGGCATAGTGCCTTGGCTTGCTGGCCTGGCAGATCCACAGGTGGGCGCTGGTCAAAAGCGCCTTACAGAGTGGGAACTTCCAGATTCCATGAGTGCAAATGCAGTCCTTTTGCTTTGTTGAGGCTCTATGGGCCAGTCCCCTGGAAAGATTCCAGGCTCACCTTGTTTAGATTTGTTTGTGATCTCGAGGTATGAGGAGTCGAGAGCAGAAAACGTTATACTGATGCTAGCTCGCGATGTTGTTGGAGAAGCCTCCTCGCTCGTCGTTGCTGTTGTGTCCAAGCTTCTCTTGTCCCTTCTCACATCCAGTCTTGCCTCAGCTTGCCAAAGAAGCGAAAGGGTTAGGTTTGCAGTTATGGATGGCTCTTCTGTGTAACGTGGTTTGTTGCGCCTTGACCCACTTTGGGTGATTCTCATGCAAATGTGGGCATAGTGGGCAGAACAGATTGAGCAATCGGCGTGGGGCATATGTTTAGTAGGAACTCTTGCCCGAAATGGGCAAAGCGATTCCTAACAGTATTGCATAGCTTATGCATGCGTCATTTCCCGTCAGTTGTGTCATGTCCTTCCCTGTGCGAGGGGTGGAGGTGGCGCAGGGGGCGCCAAAGCCCAAGGGATGCAGTGAGGCGCCACAAGGCGGCTCGTTGAACTTCACTCTGGATGCGCAGGGGCCTCAGCATGGCCTCAGCATGGCCTCAGCGTGGCAGAAGGCAAGGCGAACGTTGTGCCGCACCAGAGGCTTGATATGGCGTGATGCGTGAGGTATGAGTCAATGAGTTGCATGGAATGTGTAGCGGGCGCCGTTTGACAAGTGTATTTGCAGGTGTAGCTGATGATGCTTCCATTATCTGCTATTTTGCAAGTGTAGATGCAATTGTGTAGGAGGCATGATGCTTCCATTATCTGCTATTGTTTTTGATTATTCATGTCAGTCTTCCGCTGAAGGCCCGGCCGATCTGCCGCATGGCTGTACCTGGTCCTTCCTGATGGCCATGAGGGTCCAAGGGCCCAGCTCTGGGGAAGTGCCGGAGAGGTCCCAAGGCCCAGAGGATACCATGGGATACCGCAACGCAGGTTCTTCCATTCTCGGTGTCGACTCTAGAGGTGGCGAGTTCTATTTGCAGACGGCGGCTCAGTTGCTGTGTCAGGGATAAACTGCGGTAAGCTTTTTGCTCACCCTTCCAATGCCAGACAGAAAGCGACTTTGCAGTTCCGTTGTCACGTGCCACACACAGGCCCCGACAGCACTCTACACCGCCCAATGTGATCTTGAGGCTAGACTCCGGCAAGCACAGAACCGGAGGCGCACCTTCCTCATTGTCGGCTTTCTTGCAGTTCTCCCAGCTCTACCCAAAGCCATCCTTCGCCAGATACCTGGCATGTGCAGCTGGTGCTGCCTTCTGGCTTCGACCCAAAGGGTGTGAAGTACATGTCGCTCCTTCTGACTTGAAACTGTCTGCGTAGGCAGCAGTGCAGTGCTAGTTCGACTGCAACATGCTCTGTACTCATACCGAACAGATTTAACGCGCGGCCTCCTGAAGTTCACATGGCTCATGGTATCATGGTATGCGGATGAGCTGAGACTGTATGATACTGTATGCGTTGAGAGAGGGCAATAGCTCGGACGGCAGTGTGCGGGGTGTGCAGAGCCTCTGCGGAAGACCTTCTAGTTCTAGTTCGTTTCTCTCAGCAGCAGTCGCCAGTATATGCTGTACAGCCTTACGGCATTCGGGCCAAGCTCAGCAACATGGGACGAAGAACAAAGGCAGTAACTGATTTCCATATTATGTTTTTTCTCCTTTCTGCTATCTTTCCAACACCGATCTTGGCCAGCTGCCGGTGAGCGAGCCATGCGGTTCGCAGGGCGCGGCGGCATGGGAAGGTACCCTTTTCTCTTCATTCCTTCATTCACAAGTCATTCACACTACCTGCTGAGGGTTAGGAGTTTGGCTAAGTTGCAATATGCGGCCAATCGCTGCGAAATTATAACTTGTCAAGGCTCCCTGCCGAACTGGAAGCTAGCCATTTGCATGGACCATTATGGACCCTGTCAGTTTCCAAAAGTTTCCAAAACCCTCGAGAGCAACACGGAAGCCGAAAGAATTGCAAAAGTCTGAAAGTACAGATGTCCAACCTGCTAGGACCTTTGGGGGCGTTGCCATGGATGAGCTCCGTGACGAACTCTTGCCGCCGCCCACGCCGCTGTCCCAGAGGCAAGAACAGACCGGAAGTTCAGAACTCAGGATCCTTCAGCTCATGTGATAACACGCAAGTTGTCATAAATCAAAGGGGAGGGCTACATCAACTGAGTGTGGCGCAACTGCGCTCCACAATTCGTTATGGCTAGCTGCATCTCATCAGAACCCTTCATGACTTTCTCGTTTCCTGGCATCTCCTGTTTTGATTCCCCGCAGTCCGTGCTCACTCAAGACTCGGTTGGGCAGTTGCTTGTACAACGCCAATAATAACTGCACGGCAGGGCCTTGCATTCCTTGCCACTGTAAAGGGAAGACAACGGTGATCATTTCAGGGAACTGTCGCATGAGTTCGAGAACGTTGCGCGAGCTTGCACATTCAAACGCTTGTAGAGGTACCGTGCTGATGAATGTCTGACGCGAACAACGGCGCATAGTTCGGCAAACTAGCAGTTATCCGCTACGGCTACGGTATTGGTCACTGAGCTCTCGTGGCAAGCTTTTCTGGCTACTGCTGCAAGTTGCTCGGAGGTGCACTGGTGTTGCGGAAGGGCCCAGATCTTCTGTTGGCGCTCGCAGCTAAGTCTCACAGTGGTGATGCCTCGCACCGACGAGCGATTACACAGTCGGGCAGCATGCCATTTTATGGTAAGGCTTGCTCTTTCCAGAATCAGGGCAAGAACGGCGAAAATCAGGAGATTCACACAAAAGATACAGAATCTGCATGGTATTATACATATATATATATATATATATTCACTTTGTTAGAGGGTCTTGCTCTGGACCCTATTTTGTTTAAGACTCTGCATACAAGCAATGCGGCCACTGCAGCAGGGCACTCCCCATGCAATCCTCTGCGTCAGGGGTTACAAATTCACATTGCGGGCTCCATCAACAATCCACGACAGGACAGCTGGATAGCTGCGGAAAGTGGGACCAAGAGCTTGCTGGCAGTCTTGGATGGACATGGAGAGCAAGGTTCGGGAGCTGCGTAGTAGTACTAGAACGAAGGTTGCTAATGATCACTTTGCAGGGATGCAGAACTTTGATTTTAAGGCTATGTTCTTTCAAGACTCTTGATCCTTGAAATTCATTCTCTGCAAGGGTTCAGATTCTAGATGTCGTGGTTGTCACGGATCATGACCAAAATGTTTGAGACTGTGAGCATGAGGCGAACACTTCAGTTCTTCTTTCTGTTGGTGCGTCAGGCAAGCGTGTCTCCGAGTATGCCCGATCGCAGCTGGCCAGGAGCCTCTACGCCAGCAAGGCCTGCAGCCTGCAGCTGTAAGGCTGTAAGGAGCTTTCTTGGACGCACGCCCTCAACTTCTCAACTTCCCTCCTCCCAAGAACCCCTTCGCCGGCCCTCCATCCGCATGCCTCCCGTCATTCTCGTCACGGTCAGCAAAGTGCGAACCCGCCTCACAAGTGACTAAGTGGGCCCTTCGTCCCCGGTTCCCCAGCAACCACAAGCGCGCCCCCCTCAAAGTCAGATCACCGCGAGGGTGCGAGGCAACACTTGCAGCTACCCCGGGAAACAATGGGCGACGGGAGACAGGGCCAGGGAAGGAGGTGGTTTCAGAGGAGACAAGAAATTAAACCGGGAGGGTTTGTCCCACTTGCCCTGGGGCAAGCGAGCAGTGGGGAGTGCCAGTGGCGCAAGTAGGACAAGTGCCCCCTCCTTGCCCCGGTTGTCCATCGCCCGCAGCCACAGGTCTGGGGGAAGTGTGGCAGGTGGACTCCCCTGTCTCCGCCCCTCTCCTGTCAACCGCGCTTGCGTGGTACAAGTCACAAGTCTGCCTCGCCCTAGGCTAATTGCAAAGGCTTTCTCCTCCGGAGTCGCATGAGGCAGATTTGTTCTCGAACACTTGAAGCTCTTCTGCAGGGCTCCCCCTCTCGAGCCGTGCCTCCTCCTCTTCCTGGGGCAAGCGGGGCAAGTGACAGAAATCAGTTCAGTGCCGATTTCCAAGTGCACTGTGACACTATGGCTGGTGAATCTTTGCATAAATGCACGTGCCCCTTTCACGCTACCACTCTCACATTCTTGTTCTCTCGCTATATGCAACGTGTCTCTGTGTCTCACTCTGGCTCTAGCACTGTTCGCCTCCATAAATCTCTATCTTTGTCTGCCCTCTCTCTCTCTACTACCTCTCTTTCTCTTTCTCTCTGGCTCTCTCTCTCTCTCTCTCTCTCGCTCTTGCTCTCTCTCTCTCTCCCTCTCTCTTTTCTGTCTCTCTACTCTCTCTACTCTCTCTACTCTATCTACTCTCTCTACTCTCTCTACTCTCTCTACTCTCTCTACTCTCGCTACTCTCGCTACTCTCTCTACTCATCTCTACTCATCTCTACTCTCGCTACTCTCGCTACTCTCTCTACTCTCTCTACTCTCTCTACTCTCTCTACTCTCTCTACTCTCTCTACTCTCTCTACTCTCTCTACTCTCTCTACTCTCTCTACTCTCTCTACTCTCTCTGCTCTCTCTGCTCTCTCTGCTCTCTCTGCTCTCTCTGCTCTCTCTGCTCTCTCTGCTCTCTTTCTCTTCTCTCTGCTCTTCCCCCTGCTCTCTCTGCTGCCAGTCTCAATGGCTCAGGAGCTCTACTCGAAGCCTGCATCTGCGCTACAAAGCGCGTATGCTGAAACTCAGAAAGGCCGGCATCCAATATGCGAGAGTTCGAGTAAGTTCGCGTGAGCTTGAACATGCAAAAGCTGCTTTTCGAAAGCTGTCACCAGGGATCGAGCGCAGCCATGCCATAGATGCGCAACGATCTGGCACCACAGTCGGGACCTCACTAGGAGTCGGGATATACATGCACGAATCACGAAGTGTTTTTGTCTGCTTGTGACTTGTTTATATAAAAACAATTCACAAGTGGTCACGTACGGATCTTCTTCTTGACTCGAGCCTCGCACCTTGATGCACCTTGATGCGACACAACGACACAACGCATCGCTCGGCTGAGGCGGTGACCTGCTATCGCCATCGGGACAAGCTCGTTGTCGCCAACGTTGGTGACTCCCGGGCAGTCCTTGGACGATGCAGCTCTCGGGAGGAGAGTCGGGCAGCAGCTGCTGTGTGATTGTTGTAGGCATAACAGCTGCATAGCTGCATGCACATGATCGATGTTTTTTTCGTGGAATTGCTGACATATTTTGCAGGGCGACGGCTCTCTGGGCCTGCGGGCTGTGGACCTGTCCAGCGACCAGCGGCCTATGCGAGAGGACGAGCGTCACAGAATCTTGCAGCAGGACTGACCCTTTTCGGGTCGCATTGTGCCATATTGTGCCGCCCACGCACAGCACACAAGACAACCCGCCCAACTTGCAGGGAGGTGCCGTCCATCCAAGCGCTATTCCGATGCGACAAGGCACCCGAGTGACTGATTTTGTTTTGTGTTTCTTCAGGTTTGACGGGTCCAGGTGTTTTTTTTCCTGAGTCTGGCTCTGTCGTTTCTCTTTTCTTAGGTCTGGCTGGTCCTCCGGTCCTGTTGTCCTCTGGTCCCGTACACTAGCACGGCGCAAGCCGGCGCAAGGCGGCGCAGGGGCGAGGCGCAAGGGAGACCTACGGCCTAGGCTTGGCAAAAGAGTTTAGAAAACATCCAAATGGGGGGGGGGGGGGGCTGCGCCCCCCCACCCCCTGTTTTTTTTTTTATACTTTAAGCCGTGCAAGTTGCAAATGGCCAAACCTATCCTTTTTCCTCGCCGCGCAAGGTTGCTTCGAGACCATATGAATCCCTTCCAAACCAATCACGCGAGCATTGTCTTTGCAAAAGGGGGGGTTCCCTCCAAACTGTGCAAACTTGTGTTAAGACCATAAGATTCCCTTCCAAACCGCTGATGCGAGCATCGTGTTTGCAAAATGGGGGGTGCAAATGGGGGGGGGGGAGGTTGTGCCCCCCGCCCCCTCGCCCCCCCCCCCCCCCCCCCCCCCCCCCCCCCCCCCCCCCCCCAATCCCCTCGAGTTTTTTGGCCACTCAAGGTTGCTTCAGGACCATATGAAGCCCTCCCAAACCCATCATGCGGGCATTGTGTTTGCACATCGCCGGACCCCTTCATATGAGCATGACGGGGGGCTGCCAGCCCTCCAATGCCCCCGCTTTTGTAAGCCGTGCAAGCTTGCTTCCGAACCCATTGTTAAAAGCCTTTGAATACTGTAGTTGGAGCACTGTCAAGCAAGCGAACATACATAAGTACGGTGGCTTGCAGGTCTTTGCGCGGTTTTTGTAATCATCCAGGAGCTCG